ATACTAAAAAGAATAAAGCTTACCTGAGCTATTATAGACAGAATGCCTACCACAGCTATAAACGCCGCAATGCTAGCAGATCCAAAACCTATAACCTGAAGAGAAGCAGATAATGCATAAAACAAGTGCTAAACACAATCCAGAACAATCACTAGCAAAGAGATATCTTCTTCAGAAAGAACACTGGCCTCTGCTTATGATCTAAATCTGTACAGCAAGTGTCTACTTTCAAGAATAATCCTTAACTAGACTGCTGGCCAAGAAATCCACAAAAAAAAAAATGCCTTAAAAAAGGTGATAGAGGAATTCATGTGTCTGGAAATTGAAGTTCTCTGTCCCCTCCCACAGACACAACAGCTCTTCAACAGGCAAGATCCCACCTCGAGACATACAAACTGCTGCACTGAATTGGAACAGAGGTCTGCTTAACTTTATGAACACATGCTTAAGCTATGGCAGGGTTTATGCATCAGGAGTCAAGTGTTGCTCAGTTCTTGGCTTAGCAAACTACTCTGCCTTTATTTTTTAAAGCTGTATTTTGCCAGAAAGTAGTTTTCTGAGCAAAGTCTTCAACAAGAAACGGGTCTTATACTACACTTATTTAAACATCCTTAGTAAGACGAAGACACCAACATTTACCTGTCGCAAGTACAGAAAAAAGCTAGAATACTGGCCAGCCTCAGGCAGATAGGAGAGAAATACCGTAATGCAGATTGGGAGGACCATAGAATCTTTTCTAACCTTCTTCAGAGACTGTAAAACAAAGAAACAAAACAAGTATTGGAACAGATATACAAAGTCTAATGAAAGCATAAAGAAAACAGAAGGTGGATTCACTTTTTCAAAATCCATTTTTACCCAAACGTACGAGTCAAAAAAATCACACATAGAAACAGTTAAGCTGAACATTAAGTTAGAAACAACCCCCCGTTACATAAGGTTTGTGGTATCCCATTCTTCGGCAAAGTTTCCATTTGATTTTTGAAGCTACTGTTCAGTGCCAAATTACAAGTATTCACTGAAAACAGCACCATATAATATTTAGGGAAATGCATAATATCTTCTAATTGAGCTCCATAATAATCTGTTCCAAAAGATGCTAGCAAATAATATAGCCTCATTACAACTGTTTCTCCTCCCAGATTATGAAAGTATTTTTCCTTGTATATTTCTTATACTTGTTCACCCATAATACAGATCATTTTGAGTAACAAATAAATTGTGGAAAACAAACTCTTTAACTGAAGTCTTTCAAGAATGTGACTCATTTCTCAACATTAAAAACCAATTCCCAGCAAGATGGGCCTCAGGAAGAACAATCACTCTTTCATCTCTTAAGATATCAAGGTATAACACAAACGCAAATTAGCTGAGCAAGTGTGAATAAGGGAACAAGTTACTAGAAAGACTGCATGATATGTTTGAACTCCTCCCATGTATGCCTGTAGTAAAATCAGGCTTTATACTGCCATTCTATATTAAATAGAAATCACATATAATCAAAAGTGGAATTCAAGAGTGGGGAGAGATATTGCCAAAAGTACAAAGCATAAAATGAATGCGGAAGAGTCTTAAAATACCAAGTTTTGGGGTCTGTAGCAGTATAAGAATTCAACATTTCTCTTACAATAAAACAGAGTAAGTGACTTAGAAAAGTAAAGCATTTTCCCTTTGGATTTCACACCAAACATGTTTCCAATTCCAAGAATCATTTAATCCACAAAGCTTGGTTTGGTTTTTAAATGTAGCTAGATCTTTTTGTGCAAGAGCAGAGAACAGATTAAGGTACACTGAATAGTCAAGCTACCAGCAATAAGATTAAAGATTTCTCAAGCTTACAAAATGCAATTAATTACTATTATTAGTTAATCATCAATTATTTATTAATTATTTATTAAAGTGCATCTTACTGCAAAAGGATCTGCTTGCTCCCATGATATAGAAGCTCCCCATGAAGCGGGTCTCATTTTTTCTGGCAGAGATTCTGGTACAGCTAGCAGAATGAAGCAGATGTCCACAACTGCCACCAATGTGGCCAGTAGCACGACAAGGTTATCTCCATAGCTAGCAGACAGGTACGCTCCAATGGCAGGACTAGTTACCAAACTTGCTGCAAAGGTGGCAGATACCTATGCACAAGAACAGTTTACAAACTTGTCGAAGCAGTTATTCTGGCATTGCAGAAAAATGAAGTAAGTTGCTCAACACCATCACCTCTACCCAGAAGTGTGGTTTTAAAAAAAAAATTAGTCAAAATTTAAATTAGAAAAAAAAAAAAATCACTTATGACAGTAAACATGGGTGCAAATAAAGTTTCTCCAAACTCCTCCACAGCCCACCATATGAGATAGGATCTGCAGTCAAAGCAGGAGTTTGGCTCAAAGTAAAACAGCTCTTACTTTCAAATAGACTAAAATGGTTTTTGTTTTCTAATTATGAATTTGATGAGATTTCACTGAAAATGTTGTCAGCACATATAAATGCCTGCCTAAGTGAACCTGAGCCTCAGCACTCTGGGTAATACATAACAGTAATACATAATGCCTTTGTTAACAGTTTGCATTTTACATATATAGCTACCACCGGATAGCACAGTAAACTAGGAAATCATTAGCTACGACAACACTTCAAAAAGAACTGTACGCCTTCATACTATGTTGTAGTGGCATGCAGCTAGTAACAGATCACTCATATTCACATACAGCAGAACATGATGAAAAATCAAGTGCTGTAGTTAAATTTCACTATAAAAATAATCAGAAAAGGTTGGAATAAAGCTACTTTGTTTGGGTTTAATTACTACTCTTTTACAGTCCCCAAAATAAAAACATTCTGCGTAAGTGTTTTATAGAGTAAGTAAGAATACAAGCTGGAAATTCAGTTTTATACCAAGCTAGAAAAAAATTCTAAGGAAAAGGTATCACAAACAAACTGATTAGAAAGAGATACAGACCTCATAAAAACAACTGCACTTTAGTCTATCACTTTACAAAATTTTAGATCAAGCTGTTTCTGTTAACAAAAAACTGTTTGAAGGCAGGCAAATATATGGTCCAAACATATCTATGGCCGTCTTTATAGGCAGGAGAAATAAAGCGAAAATTCCAGAAATTTTAAACCTGTTTTGTCCTCTGCTACAACAATACACACAAGTTTTGTTCAAGAGAACCAAGTCCTTTATTGTCTTAACTGTTAAATCAACATTTGAGAAATCATATATCCCTAAGGCTAAAAATAAAGGGAAACTGTAACAGCTCGAAGAACAGTACAGTCAGCCAAAAATCAAGTCCATCAATATCCGTATAGTGAAAACAGATGCAGAGAGGATGAAGGGATAAATGATGTTCAAACGCTAAGGGCATCCACCAATGGGCCTCCAAAACCTAAACCAACACAGATATTCAGGAAATAAAACTAAGCAGGAATTACATTATTACTGGAAAGGCTAGTTTGTCCTAACTGAACTATCTTCCTCTTCTCTTGCTAATTAAGAAAGGTCATGACTAAGTTACTAAAAATACTGCATTACGCAATTTCACCCTTCCTGCCTGTTTTGACTACAGAAAAAGCCATTCTACATTAAAAGAAATCACAAACTAAAAGTGCAGTTTACAGGTGCTGGAAAGATATTGCCAGATCAAGTATTAAATAACATGCATTGCTTTTAACAACATTTCCTGTTCTGCCTGTGAAACTCATGTTTTGTTATACATGCCCTCTATGCAGGTAAAGTTGTCACACGCTTATTCTGTTCCCACGAACACAGAGCAATCTGTGCAGCAGTAAAACGTCTAAATTAAATTTCTCAAATTCTAATACAGTGCCTTGATGCACGGTTCATTCCTTTCTCCATCACCCTCATTACATTAATCAGGAAACAAATCTGCGCATCAAAACACAAGTTCAATATGAAGGTCACAATCTGACCTTTTTTTCAAGTTCAGCATATCTTACCAGTCCATAGGCTGTAATTCTTTCATGTTCTTGTGTTACATCAGCTACATAGGCAAATATTACAGAAAAGGTAACAGAAAAGATTCCAGATACCGAAATCATAGCGAAGTACCACCTAATGATTTAAAAGCGACAATTAGAAAGTTTAAGCTAAGACCTCTTGCTTTTCTCTTACTCATCAAGCAAGCCTGTATTTAAGCTATGAGAAGTGTTCCTCAAGAATTAACATAAAGCATTGCTGGAGATGAATGATTGTGCAGTCTCACTTAAATACTGGAAAACAGCATTTTAATTTTTTATATTCTACTTTTTACTCCACATCAGCCTAAAACAAGTGGCCCCTTCAGGACATGGTACCTACACATTTTCACACTCTCAAAGCTGAAGCAAGTTTAAGTTATGAAAAAAGAACTATCTCAGAACCCAGTTTCTCAACCAGTTAGGGAATAAACTGTCATATATAACACTTCAGAAGCTGAACTCTGAGTGCACTCAGTGTACACAAAGTTCTTCTGTAATCCCAAATTTCACAACAAATGTAAATGAAAGTGAAACCAAGTCAATTCGACTCAGTTAAGACTTCAAGTTTGCCTAATCAAAGAGTTAAAAGATCTTGTTTGCAGCAATTGTACTTTTCTGTGGTCGATAAATTCCAAGGTTCATTTAGCTTTAAAAATGTTTATTACAGCACTGTCAGTCCTCAGGGGGGAAAAAAAATTAACAGCTGAGCTTAAAACTGAGTTAGACAGTGCTATCAAACCATTTCAATTACTGTTATACTTGTGTGAACACAGTAACTAAATTACATTCTGTAATTTCTATTTTTAAGATACACAGTTTTAACACCTCTTAAACAGAAACGCTCCAGAATAAATGCAATCATGTCCTGAAAGGAAAGCGGCTTTCCTCTTATCTTGCTGTCCCTCTCCGACTTCCCCAAACTTCTCCTCCAATTGAATTTCTGCTGCACTGACAAGCTCACTACTGCACTCTGTACCACTTACCATGGACTTATTCTCATTAACGGAATTGGAGCACAGGTGAAGAAAACTGTAAGAAGAAGAAAAGATTTTCTTCCCCATGCATCTGATAGAGCACCTATTAGCGGAGCACTGAGAAAGGACAAAAAACCCTGTGACAGAAGAAAAACAATTAATATGCCTATATTTACAAGTTTACTTTAACCACAACAAAAAAAAAGGGCTAAAATTGCAATTTGATTTGAAATTAAACACAAAATTGTAGATAACTGAAACTGTACAAAATTTCTTCCACAGTCTACTTTTCTGTGACTCTGATATTTTATGTTTCACATCTATTAAACCTGAGTGCATTTTAAAAAAAAAAAAAAGTACCATAGACTGCAAAAGTTTCTTAGAAATCTCCAAAATCTACAGTCTAGTTTCACAAAGGACATCTTTTTAGCCTCTGTCACGTGACTTAATGCTAGATCCCAAATCCAAATTCCTATCTAATTTGGATTGTCCTAAGGGAGAGTTTTGTGTAACCTAACCATTCTCTGAAACAAATTAAACAGAACACTTACTGCTTTATACTACACATTTATCATGTACAGAACATTTGTAGACTGCATGAACTCTCAGGACCATTTGAGCAAGCTTGACAACTTGAGACAGTGGAACACCATAATGATACTCCAGTGGTAAAAGTCAGACTTACAGGTACAGTTGTCATGGAAAAAAAATGACTAAGGATCAAATACTAGCTTTTTCAGAATTTCACAAAGTCCTAGAATCTAGGCCTCAAATCTGTTCTGTATTACCCAGAAGAATTAAAATAAGCAAAGCCTTTCACAGGTTTGTTAACTGCAAAACCTCCAAAACAAATGCATCCTCTTCCTAATTAGTTTATTGTTCTCCTATCAATCCAACTCTGCCATAAATCCAAACATTAGTAAATACATGGTTCTGTAAGCACCTCAATACACTGGAAGTCTACTCCAGTTAACTAACTAACCTCTGGTATTCAAATATAGTCACCCTCAAGTTTAACATATGTATACAGACTACTGTACTAAATCACTATTCTGCCAAATCCCAATAAACAACTCTGACTCCAATGATTTCAGTAAGTAAATTGAGCACAAAAGTTATAAAGCCAGACCATCAGATCCTAGGAAAGTTAGAAGCCTTTCTCAGTTGACATTCATGTTTTTGCTCCTTAGAGTCAGATTTCACTAGAATATGAACTAGTATGTTTTGCTAACTGTCATGCAAAACACTTCTGATGTTTCATAAACAGCATTTTAAAGAAAATATTGGGCACTGAAGTCCAAGCTCACTGTGGTCTATGCTCCCCGTTCATTACACCTGTTAGAGCAACAGATACATTTAGACCATGATATTAATGCACTTTTCTACAGATATGCTCTGTAGAAAATATATGGGGAACCCTCCACTCACTACTTTTGAGTGATACTTACAGTTACATTGTACTGTGAATGAACAGAGTTGAAAGCAAACACCAAGAGGAACATGAACTTTGTTTTTCCAAGAGAACAATGCAACGTTAACTTCTTCTTTCAGTCTGAGACATCCTGACATCCCTAATGCACGGTATTCTACCAGTTCACCATGAAAGATATCAAGACAGCAAGTCGTAAGTCACACAAAGTGCTTTGAAGCCTCTCAGTAAGACAGTTAGCAAAGAGACTTTCAAGTTTTAGTTATGCTACAGAAATTTTGCAAGCTTTTTTGGTGGAAACAATCCAGCATGACCACTGTGTCAATGCAGTAGTATAAGTAAGCTATAAGCTGCACTGAATATCTTGACCATCACAGAATCCTCAAAAACTGATAAAAAAAGACCAGAAAAAAAAAATAAACCATGCTGCCAAAAGTTAGCTTTTATACCACATCTTGGACAAAACCACAATGTTTAAGTGCTTCATTTTTAATGTCAAGGGTATCACCATGGCTGCATTAATCTGCTTTTGATATAAATCATCTAACATTTGGAAAGAGACGTTAAAAACCTAGCTTCATTCTCAGAAGGATCCTTATCAAGATTACAAAAGCTACAACTGGTACCTATTCAAATAAGAGGATTTTAAGCTTTTTAGAAATATTCCACTTGTTTCAAAATGCTACCATTTAGCAGCAAAACTTGAACTGAGACCAAGAACATAACCATTACAATGAAAAAATGGTTTAAGAATTAATTACGTTCTTCATGTTTTGTATGTTCTCATGGAGAATGCAGGAGAGACAAATTACAATTCAGGAGCACACAGAGTATTTAGGTCAGAGGTTTTAAAAAAAAAAAAATCTTACCTTAACACCTTGAATAAGACCATTCATTAAAAATGTATGATGGGAAAATGTTTCATGTAAGACCTGACAAGGAAGAAAAGCATTATTTGAATCAGAAGAGACAGGAGAAAGTTGATGCAAACTTTAAATTTGATTGGTAAGACAGGATAGCTCTATTGGGACTTGTTAAAAAAGGATCTTATCCCAGAATTATACTCTTATTTGCCTTCATGAGAAAACACTGACACGGTTTGATATCAATTTATTGGCATAAATTCCTCTGCTGGCACAGACCGCACTGTACTGCAGAGATAGTTTGGTCTGGGGTACTTTGCTCAGAAAGGGGACCAATGTAAGCAAAAAGTACCTTCATGTTGTAGAAATCATAGACTTTTTGAGGTAGATAATTCCTTCAAAAGGTTGACTCAATCATTGTTACTAATTAGGAGTGAAAATGAGATTCAGCTAACTTACTTTTTCAAGAAAAAAACAGTGCTATATTCACAACTGCCCAAAAAGGCACTGTGCAAACTTTCTGAACAAATTGCAGATATTCAATAGTCATACAATTAGAAACACTTGTGAGGAAGAAGTAGATGCTTATAAATATTAGCAATAGTTCTGAGTGATTCATGTATCTTTTAAGTACAGCTATGCATTCATTTAAGATGCTTTACGAGCAGTCTTAATTCAAGGGCAAGCACATTAATCTATACTAAACAAATTTACCATAAATATGCAAGAGAGTTAAAAGGCCTCATAGGTGCTACTGTGTCAATTAAAAAAGTTATTGCAATGAACAAAGCGTGTATGCACACACACACTTCAAATTCATTTGCTTTTTTTAATCTATAGATAAGTGTCAATAACTACAAAAATTATTTATATACATATTGAGAAAGCCACTAGCCTGAAGAAACACAATACTTTAGTGTTACTGAAAAGTACCAGCATCATTTTTCAAGGATGACCGAGATTCTCAAACCATAGGTTTAATAAAGGTGGTTGTTCCCATGCTCACTACTGGTCAGATAATTCTGCTCATTTACACCCCTTTTTCCTTCTGGTCTCATCTGTTTAGATATTTAAAACAATTTTGCACCTGTTTCACCACTGATCTTATGATATGAATGGAGAAAAAAAAGTCAGGGTTCAAATTAGAGATCTAAAAGCAGATGTCTTCCGAGTCAAAAAAAAAAAAGTGCAAGCAGGAAGCTCACAGAGTCAAATCTAATTATCTTTCTGTAAAGTGTTTTCCAGCATTTTTCCTGGGAGGCAACCACTGCTTATATTGGTTCAAGCTTTTGAGATTAATTTCTGTTACTTTACAGACAAGAGAAATGCAAGTTGACAAATTAGTAGAGGGAACTGCCTTACTGTAGTTCTACCAACAAAAATATTTACATATTGAAAAAAAGATTATATTGAAGACAGAATACGCCATTAAGTGATTAATATTGCTTATGGTGATTTACTAATATTGATTTACAAGTCCAGAAATAAGAGTAATGAGCATAAGCTTTTAAGCAGTCTGTGAGCAAAGCAGCCTTTCTGTGCTTTATAAACACTTCAAATCTTTTCTTCTCTAAGTATAGTCTAACAAACACCACAGCTCTGCTGACAAATGTCAGAAGTAGTAAAAAAGTAATTGAAAAAAAATGAACTTTAAATAATCTCAGCTATCATAGAATACATACAATTTATTTTGATAATACACAACACTTTAATCTGACTGAATGTTGACAATGACCTGGAGAATTTGAATGATCATAAGCTTTGATCAACAAGCCAGACATTTCCACTTCTGCCCTTCCTACCAGAAAAACCTGCTTGAGCAAAAGTGGGCAGCTGGCAGTCTAAAGGTTGAACCTTGCTCATAAGAAAGCTCTACATGACTTCTAGCACTGCTGGCTGATCAGCAGGCCAAGATAAGTTACCACAAGTACATTACAAGACAAAAGGGTGCAAAGTATCAAACCAGATTTTAAATTATTTAAACCAAACAGCAGCTTTTCAGTGTGTGTAAAGCTGATTACAAATAAGGACAATCACCAGCAAGAACACAGAAGTCATTTACCCCTGTGTAAGGTAAGTTACACCATTGTACGTAACTCAGTGCTTTATATTAAGTTTTCAATCCAATGCAACAGCTTGCTATGTATTCAAGAACACGAAGGGAGGAGCAGAACATTCAAAATAAAAGACATTCAAGACCACGACTGTACTGAATCCAAACACTTCAGTCAAAATAAGAATTTAGCTTTATAGTAGAAGCATTTCATAACACTCCCATTAGACACAGTGTAATGATAAACATCAATTTCAAGAATTAACATTTCAGCTGCATGTGACTCACAGTAAAAATTCAAATGGAACTATTTAAATTGCAAACTATTGAGGAACTATTGAAGAACCCACCTAATATATAGTTTTATTAAAGTGGGTTGGGTTTTTTGAAGACCATAAAAATTACTATTTGCACAGTATCTCTTTAAGTGAGAAGTGTCAAGCTTGAGGAACTTGAAGTTGAGCATTTTGGTTAAAGAAAAAAAAGAGAAAAAAAAAAAAAAGAAAGAAAAAGAAAGAAACAAGAAAGACCACCCAGTAAGCTTTCCCAGATTTTGACCCTAGCAAGTCAGCATGATAGGATGGTCATTTAGTGAGAGATCTACTTTATAGAAATCTGTTAACTATTTATATACACTTTTTTTTTTATTAAGCGATGTTAAAAAGATCTGTGATTGTCTTTAGGAAGGTTAGACAAACACCTTTTAAGAGTTATGTAGATGATTTTATTTGGAGTTTGGGGAAGGAAAATAATTAACAACAAGGTCTTCCAATCCCACAAAATCTTGCTCAGCATGTATTCAAAGTGCTCTCAGATATTCTCCGATGAAAAACTGGACTAATAGGCTTTTGATGACTTCTCTCAGGCAGGCCTGATTTCAATGAATAAGACCCATGTCTTCAGATAAAAGGCTGCATATCCTATTACTAAACACTCAAATCATCTATTTGTCTGAAAAATAACTGCATTCCAGAAGAGATTAAATACTTGTAAAATCTACTTCTTAAAGTAAAATGTAAAGACTTCCATGTAAGTTACATGCCGGCAAAACAGTCAGCCCACAATAGCATACAAAGTTTACTCTGGGATGCATGGTTTATTTAATTGTTATGACTGGAAGATGAAATGAACTATGCAGTCTTTAAAAAAGTCAGAATTTCCAGAGAGACTTTCATCAAAACACTAAACCGATGTTACTCTAAAAGGCAAATAAAAGTTCAAGCGTAGTACAGCATTTTGCCAATTTATTTTTCACTATCTTTTAAACTTTCAGCAGTCCAGATCTCAGCTGTAGTATGCTACTACTATGCAATGTCGAATGTTAAGACTTGTGGAAATCAGTTAATGAGGTAAGTTCGAAGTGTAAAACAAATCAAAACCCCGATTCCTACGAATTAGCAAATTGTCTTGGCAGTAATGACAAAAGGTAAGAGCTGATCAATGATACTCACTGTTAGCATTGGAGTTGTCAAGAGCCCCCAGGCAAAGAATTCTAGAAATATGACCACCACCGCATGGTATACACTTGGTCGACCAATGCCTTGCTGCTAAGAAAGAAAAACACATGCAGTAGTTGTATACATCCAGTTCGTTACATGTGCAAAGGTCTCTTGCAAACATATCTTGAGCATAACCAGCTTTCAGGATGACCTATTACCAAGCCCTTGGGAACAATAACAAGCCAAACAGGGGTGGAGAAAAGTTATTACAAAATGACTAAAGATCTCCAGGGATCTTGAGACAGTTTGTTCCCTCAAACTCTTGCTGACTGCAGAGAACTATTCTCCCCATTCCTTGATACTGTCCTGTACTCCTCTTACCTCCAGTACACCTTTAGGCTTCCTCCCTCTTGAGCATCTATTCATAGCCCTTCCACAGCACAGTGACAAATGGTGTAACTCTCTCTGATACCTCCACAAGTGACAATGAAACACCTGCTTTATGAAGATCACATCACCATTACAACAAAACTATGACAATGTACATAATCAGAAGACCACCAATTTTTGTATTTGAAACTGCCAAAGTATGAGAAAAGAAGGGGCAACTTATGCCATCTGTACAACTGCTTTCTATTGACTGCTGACCTACTGATTTCATGCTTTTGTGTGCCCACAGACCACAGACCCAAGGGCTATTCTACTGGTCAACAAGTAATTCCAGGAAGAGTTAGCCAACTATGGAAGCGCTCATGATTCTGTGAAACTGCTGCGATTCAAGACCCAAGAAGGACTGGATCCCAGATGAGAGATCTGGAATCTTTTTATTTAGATGAACCAGGCAGAACCCTTGGGTAAAGCAGAACTGCTGCTTCCTTTCGTTTCTATATGCCTCCTGCCATAGTAACTGTTTTACAAAGTTTTGAGGTTCTAAAATTACTCTTTCCTTTTCCCCTAACACTTATTCTGTAGAAGATTGTTTTTCAGTGTTTCTGGCCCATCCAAAGCCATTACACTCTGACAGGACTGGCAATTCTTAGAAAGGAGTAGTACAGCGCTGTCATCTGATACTCCCACACTTACCTGAAGTTTACCCAAAATACAAAAGGACACTTCTCTAGCACGCTGAGCAATCTAATAATGCAGGATTCAGTTGAAGGGACATCATTTAGTGAAAAGTATCAACCAGATTGTGTCATTTCAGCAAGTGGAGAGTAGGGAGAACATGAAACTCAGCGTCTCCCACCAAACACCAAAAGTCAGGACAGCCTATGATGAAGGTATAGCAGAGACACGTTTGATGTTTCTCCTCTGCTTGGTAACTTTCATCTAGATCAGTAGAAATTACAGGTTTAGAAAACACTTATATTACAAGATTAATTTAAGCTAACCACCTATATTAAAGATTTTTAAAGAAATCCCTACTGCCTGGACAGTCTAAGTGTCCAGGTCTCTAATAATTTTTAAATCTATCAGAGCTTATCATAACTTGTAGCAACAAACTAAAAGTAACCCAGACAGCCTTTTTTCTAGCCAATAAGATTCAATTTAGTTTCTACATTGCAGCTTGCTTCAAAGCTTGAGGATTTGAAGAAAACAGTTCTTTTTCTCCTGGGAAATAATATGATAATATCATAGATCAAAGATTATACCTGGGAGACCAATAACTTTCAAGCATTATTAACATTCCTCCATAGGTTACCATGCAAATTTTGATCCCTAAATAGCAAAGATTCCAAAGATAAGGGGGGGGGGGGGG